TTGTATAATGAAAAGATAATAAGGGACCATAACGAGGACAAGGACGACAAGGACGACAAGGACGACAAGGACGACAAGGACGACAAGGACGACAAAGACAATAGGGACGACGGGGATAATAGGGATAACGGGGATAACAAGGACGACGGGGATAACGGGGACGAGAAAAAAGGACAAGGAAGAGGGACTTCTTCCGAGACTTTATTTGCTCTTAATAGAATGAGTAGGATATTGAATTTGTTCCTATGAGAGTCTTATTCCAACCACTGATATCCCCTTGGTTTTCTTTCTTGACTGGAATAGCTGAGACATACCGAGGCAGCTATGAATGACATGAAAAATAAGAGTCTTAAAGACTTGGGTAAAACACTAACAAACTGCAGCCATGAGACTAAGCCATCCCATCAAAAACCATATCAAGTCACCTTTAAGCTTAGGTCTGCATAAAGTCATAGCCCCTCGGGTTCTGCTCGACTCAGGCAGAGGAAAGGGACATGCTGAGTTAGAATCACTCGCTGGCCTTGAAAGTGCAGCTCATGTCATATCTACACGGTGTTCTGGCACCATCAGCGGAGTCTCAATCTCGACGCAAAAGGGCTTGCTTACCTTTGCCGTGTTCAATTCACAGCAGCCGGGACTAGATCCGGGACTGGATCAACGCGGTGCTTTTCCTGAAGTTCTTGGCCGTCATCTCGCGGGTGCGAGCACTCGGCGCTGTGCTCCTCCGGCTGGTTGTCGGACGCGCCGATTTCCACGCTGGGATTCTCGATGAGTACTGTATGGCTGCACAGTAATAGCCACGGCACTTTCTCTCTGATATAACTAGTCTCCCAGAGCATATTCATGTTGTTGAGTCGGCCAGCGCAATCCAGGTTGGCGCATCCCCTAGAGCTACCATTCGAGGTCGGAAGTCGCGAGCGGGCGACTTCTCCGGCCGAAGAGCGATTACTACAGAAGTACACCGGCGATTCATGACAAGACGTCGCGTATATTCGGAGAATAAATCGTCGACAGAGAAGAATGCCGCCAGATCAGAGATATCAGAGACACAACACGTCCATCCACTCATTCGACATCACTTTCCCGGTATGGCATATCTCATGAGAAACGCTTTTAGAAGAAAGCGTAGGATACGGAGTGATTGTGTCTTCCATAGGCTTTTAGAGCCGAGCAGACCGTTTATATAGTCATTCGATCGAGCTTGTCTGCCGGGATTCCCATGCTCCCGGTGCCGCTAGCACGGACATGGTTTAGGGACAGCGTGCCGTTGTCAACTCGACCATTGACGATCTCGCGGAGGCTGTACTCTCGCCCTACTCATTGTGAATTGCCATATTATACCGTATACAATTTTGAATTCGTTACTCGACGTTAACGTTCTCTAAAAATGATGTAGTTTTTCGGTATGTTCGCATGAAACCCGCCACGAATGTTCGCTTCGAACATGACACATGGCTTCAGCGGCGTCAAATGGAGGTTATCGAACTCTGAACCGATTCTGTGGGTATTCAGTTGGAGATACAACAATACGATGCCTGAAGTGATGGACGAGGGTGAGATCTGTTCGTGAGAAGAACTTGTGCGTTCGGGCTGTTGATCTTGAGGCCAGACAAGCGATGGCTTGGACGTGCAGGAGTAGTTATATGCTATAATAGCGATTCTCTTATATAATTTCAATTACCTGGGCCGTTGCTAAATCTTGCGAAATGGCCAAGCTTATATAGATGTCCAATGAATTTGAAGTTTCAGCAATACATCGAACGTTCCCGATAGCTTCCAAGGTGGCATCCAGCATATAGAAGGACATGTTAGTCGTCTTCGAATCTGAATTTCAGCATGATGTCCTCTCAGTCCGTGTATTGAAGAGCTTGGGTAAAGCCATCACACGCACTGCCGCGGCCGTATGCAAGCCCATGCCAGTTTTTACCGCCCCTCCAGACCGTGATGACTGTCAACCAGCCACAGCAAGGATTTCAATATTTATAGGAATACTTTGACGTGAATGGCTAGAGACACCACGGAGACAAGCATCATGAGGTCTGGAGAAAATTTAGCGATGCTGCTGAGCCAGCGCATTGAACACCTTATCAGGCCACCTTTACTTCGCGCATTTTGGTCAAACAGATTCATTTGGTCTGCTCTGTTGATTCTCATTCTTTCTGGTACGATGTCTTTTATAAGGCGAATGGCCGAAGCGACGGTTGACGACAGAAAGGTATTCTCATGCATGGGCGCCGGAGCCCGCCGTATAAAATGCTTTGTGATTCCCTTGTTGAGACTTTCTAGAAAAGTAAAATCGTTGCCAGCGTTGTGGTCTATACAATAATCCTCGGCCAAATACCTGAAAAGAATCCGATGACGTTCTGCCGATCCTCGATGCTCCAGGGCATCGAGGATGGAAACATTGCTACCCCTGGAGTATTCAAGCATTCCATGGAAAGAAAACGCCGGACGCTGAAGCGATTAAAGAGATTCTATCATCTATTCATTTCGCGGACACACGTACACGGCTTGGTGATTGAAAGTGATGCATTTCTGGACCAGAGACCATTTGAGGCGAACATCCTCTATGGTTGTGTTGCTGTGTTGAGCTTGAATCTGTGACGAGTAGGCTTATCATGTAACACTCCTTCGACTGAGGGATTTCGTTCAATTGCTCTCTATATCTCATCATGACACTTTACAATGAGATGAGACGAAAAAGGGGCACCCGACCAGCTCTGGAGATTGACCCCCGTCGGTGTATTGTGAATAATACCCGTCAGAAGACGACGAACAAGTCCCCGGGGACGTGAGCATGCATTCAAGTTACAGGTTCCATATCAGCCGGGACATCTGACCCTGAGACAGCTCGGTAAAGAGTGATTGCGGACGAGGTCAGCCTGGGACAGGTAATTCCATTGTTGGTAAATCGTCGTTTTCTGGCTTGATAACCTCATTTAAATAGCATTCAAGGAGAGGTTGGCGCCTCGTTCTCTACCTCTGGTAGGCTGGGTGATATTTTATTGGCCTTCTCATTGTTCAGGGCGATTTCTGACCGAGGGACAGATCACGTCTGATGCTGATTTGTTGTCTCGGTGGATAATCTTGGTAATAGTTATAAGGGATGAAATCAGCAAAATCCAACGCTCCCAGAATCTGTGTCGCGCTATTTCCCATCTGGACTGGCTTTCACCTTTGTATTAACGGTTAGTCCCCAACAGACGCGAAACTTTTGAGTGGTTCGACATCTTGTCCTAGCAGCTATGTCCGTGAGCGTCCAAGTTTCTCGCTCATTCGGCTGTGTATCTGTCTCTACTCATGGCATACGCCTGTATTAATTCATGTTGACGTTCAAATCACCTATGCCTTCCGTTGCATGCCTCTGCCTCGAGACGCCATCCTGGATCAAGAGCATGAGAAGCGATTTTGCATTCACAGACCACCATTATTGTGAAGAGATTGCCCACCCCTGAGAGGAATAAAAAGTTTTATACAGAACTTAAAGCGGGAGAAGAATCTAGATGCCTCAGTTTAGGGTATGCTGACGAAAAGTCTGCATGTTGATCTTCCTCTTGGTCAACACTATACTTTAGTTGTTGAATTAATTGAACCCAGAACATAGCAGCAAAATTGATTCAGAACTGAAGATCTGATAGTGACTCGTGATCGGGCAATCATCCCTCCGACACGAACACCGCCAAGAGTCTGCACCACCTGACAAGGCGTAAACCAGGAAAAGTGACGCGGATAACAGCCTAATAAACGACGAAAGAAGACTTTCAGGGGCACCGAAACAGAACGAAAAGCCACTGTACACAGCTGAATCTTTGCACAGAATCTCTGGGAACCCTGAGAGGCATTATTCGAGCTATTTAACGCGTACTTCGTCCCTCAAGCAATGGCCTTGAGCAGCAATTACGGCTTGAACGATTGCGTGGCATGTTTGTATGGTAGAAAACTAACATCTCATAGCGATGTCCGCCGTCCGGCTCCCGCTGGGGGCAGTCCAATGGCGGGGGGCGAGCGAGGTCATAATACCATCCAGAATATCCCCAAGCAAATGACAGAAAGCACTGCCAAAGGACGTCAACCTCGAGATGTCGTGCCTCGGTACTCAAAAATTGCACCACGGGAGACCATTCCTTCAACAGAGGGTCATAGATTTGAAGTAAAGCCGACCACTGCTTCCGACCTCGACGCACAAGCATGTAAGGCTCATCTTGTGGACAACATTGCCTTGTCCGCTGATGGATTCTTTGGCGAGACTACGGGAATATACCCCAACCCTTCCTCATCAGTAGATAGTACCTCTGTCTGCAGCCGCGAATTCAACTTCAGTATGCCCATCATCCTCTTTAAAGAGATATTCTCTCACCCTCTCTGTAGGACCCATGTCACGGCCAAGACAACATACCATGAAGAACTTCCCCCTAGCGCCCATTAGACATACCAGGATCGTATCGGGAATCTGAAAACACCCGATCATCACCAGGGTAGTCTGTGGTCATTGTTGATGGAGTATTCACCTGCGTTAACACGCTCCTCTTTCGACATGGCCTTGGTAGAGATGGGACACCATGCAAGAGTACCTCCGCGACCACAAGCCTTCCATCGCTCAGGATAAGATACGCTGACACTCGCTCTCACATCACTAAGAGTTTCGCCTGCCGGATTCTGTCAGACCGTGTATGTGACGACGAACAGGTATATTTATAGATAAAATGCTATCGTCTCTATGCGACAAGTTGACGAAACTGTTTTAGTGCTCACCATGAAATGAAACGTGAAGTGTTTGATGCGATTTCTTTTTGCTGTCTATGCAAATAACATCTTGTCTTGAAAATTATGGCGGCGCAGACTGACCACTGCCGCATATTCCAGAAAACTCCCGCGCAAATCCCTTCGGTATCCCCTTAAATCACCCCAATGCCATCCAAACCATATCGCCAAATTCCCTGCAGGTAACAACGCAACCGAAATTTTTTTCCGAGAATGATGCGATTGTGTCTTGCGACGGCTCACAATCTTTTCAAGATGTGCGCATCCTGGACGCGTTTCAGCGCATTTCCGTCTTGCTTCTCGAAGGTGTAGAGTGTGTCATAGAGCTTGATAAGGCGCGCCTTTTCATAAGCGGCAGGACCATTCAGGAAATGTGCTGTGGCGGACCAGGCGGCTTCTCTTGTCTTTTGTTCTGCTAACTTGCCCAGAAAGTCGTTACGCTCCTGTGGAATGCGTCCGGTCGCTTTGTGAATCGCAATCATCATGTTGACTTCCGTCGCCCGAGTCTCCAGCGTTGACCGTCCCTCCTCATCAATGACGTGGCGCACGACGAAACGTCGCAGACAGTGCTCCTTTTGCAGGTTATCCATAAAGGGCGCCATGATGTCCTTCCTTTCTTTTGCTGAAGGATTTATTGCCGCAAGTTGGAGTGCGATGTCCAGATCCGGGCCCAGTGGCTCCTCTGACATACAGGCGATCTCGTTGTGAAGGCTATGGGTTTCCCTGGTGATGTCTTCCGCCTTTGGTCTTGTCCACGCAATGCCACGGCGTTCAGGGATGATGTCATCGGCTATGATACTGAGGTTGAGTCGTTGGTCAGAAGATGCGTCGGTGTTCGTGTCCACATCTGATTTTTCATTGGCGTTCGTCTCAGACTTGACCCTGGTCGCTTCCGAGTAGGGTCCTGTTCTCTTCTGAATCTTTGTAGAGGGCAAGTCGTGAGACCCGATCTCGTCCCGTCGCTTCCGCTTCTACTGTTGGGGGGCCTCAGGAACCGCTGGCTTCAGCAGCCCAGCCGCCTTTGCCGTCTGATCTGATCCCGACTGGTTGCGCTCCATCGTGACGATATTGGTGTTGTCGTCATGAAGACCTTGGCCGCCTCGCTTTGTCTGTGTACTTTCTCGATCGGTTCCCATGTTGTGCATTGTGTTGCGACGCTGAGATAGGTGTGGTGGATATGATTGTGTGTCGAAGGGGTCGGAACGAACGGTGAGGATGGTGAGAGCAGGTAGATGTGTTGAGGAAGTTTCAAGCTCACCCAGGGTTTTCACAGTAGAGGAAGAGGTAGTGAAAGAGAGAAGGTAGATGTGAAGAAGAAAGGTTTATCAACAAACCGTTCGACGAGGAAGTTTAAATACTCCGTGTAGCTGCGTGGATGGACTGGAAGTGAGAAAGAAGGTGGGTCGAAGGTGAGAAATCGTACGGGAAGTGAGAAGGTGGCAACCTCATCAAGGAAGGCACTGACTGTGCGGGTGGAAGGAGCACCTTTAGTTTAGATTCAAACGGAAGGAAAGAACAGCTTTGTCTGGTGAAGTGTGATTTCCAGTGAAAAGGCACCGTAGCTGTCAACAATAGGAGTCGGTAAGTGCGGCTTCTCAGCCAATTTCCCCTCTCCGCCGGCGTCAGTCGGAAGGTGCGCGTGAATTTGCAATATTTAAGCTTGAATACAAAAGGAATGAACTTTACAGTCCAGGTGTTATGACGATAAACATTTCATCTGGAGAATACGTAATGTTCCTGTGTCCACACCTAGGTCTCATATACGACAACTCCGAGTCCATGTTGGATGAGAACATGAGTAGACAAAACTACGGCAAAAGTATACAGACTTACACAATGCAGTATTGGGGGTCCGCCTGCAGACGATCTCCGGCGACGATGAACAAGGTATATATTTATATAAAGTAGAACATCGTCATCATATCTCACAAATCTCAAAGCCATCTTGCTATATCAATGTACGCGCTCTCATCGACATGGTATGTGACTTAGCAGAGAAGTAGATGCCTTTCTCTGCCACACAAACCATCCAACGCGGCAAACAAACGAGTGACGTGAATACAACACCTGTCTCTCCCTCGACCTCTCCATCTTCCGTCCGTCTACTTGTTCTGTCCCTGCTGTCCTCCCTGGTTCTGTCCTCCCTGGTTCTGTCCTCCTTGGCCACCCTGGCCCTGCTGGCCAGCGTTGGTGTTCCTGTCTCCGGCACCCTGGGCCCGTGCAGCGAAGCCGCCGGAGCTCATGTCCTTCCCACCCTGAGCCTGTCACAGCTTGTCAGAGAGAGTCCCTTTCAATATGAACATACCAAATCACGTACCTGGGTCGCCTGGATGCGAGAGGCATCGCTCTTGCTCATCTGGTTGGGCATGTTGTCTGGAATACTTGGAGATTGAGGCTTGATGAAGTGTGTGAGTTGAAATCTGATGTTCGTTGACTGTTCTGAAGTCGAGTTGGCTATGGCAAAAATCCGAAAAGCTCATGGAGACATCACACTTTTATACTCATCTCGCCCTCACAGTCACATGCCATCGCACGCATACAACCACCAAACAAAATCGAACTTCACCGACAAAACTTTGCTGTTGGAAGGCTTTGCCAACAATCATTCCCCGGTGGCCCTCTCAGGGCAAGACAAGCTTCTCACCGACATGCCCAGCCAGCCAGCACCCGGGAGGCATGCCCCAAGCGCGAGACATCTGGTCGGCCTCCAGCGTCGTCTGCATCATCGACGTCTGCGCGAAAACTTGTACCCTCGACATCGTGAGCAGTGATGACGACAACCGCGATGATGAACAAGTACATGGCCGAGGAGAGGGAGGGATGGTGGAAGGCATCGACGATGATGCGCAGGATACCGCAGTGTCACTCATCCAAGTACACAAATCACACGACATCACTCCTCCCGTCACTATCACCCAGCAAATCGAGGCTCAGAAACTCGAAATCTCGTTTATCATCATGGTTTCCGCTATTCACGCGTTATCCCCCTCCTATTTTGCGTTTTTACGTTTTTGTGAACCACACCCGGAATGCGGGAGGTCTTCGACCGCAGCCAAAACAGCTTCATGCAATGCAAGTTGCGCCCCTCTCCAAACCACCCAATCGCCCCCTAGACGAACCACAGGTGTTTTCTATATGGGGTGTAGATATCAGAATGAAATCAAAAACGTACAGTCTGACGATGCGTATCGCACTATCAAGATGCCGATCACTGATGACTGCAAAGAAAAACCTCCGCCGTCAAGCGCTCTCCAGAAAACGTATGCCTCTCGTTGGTATTTCTCGCTGCCGTGGTCGAAAGTGAACCGCGACACAGCTTGTATGCTTATGCTTTGTATGCTCTCAGCCCTCGATCACCCCGCTTAGCTGTGGAGAGCCTTGAGCTCCTCGTCGACCTGCGCCCTGACAATCTCCCTGACCTTCTGCCAGTCGTTGACACACTCCGTGACCCTCTTCTCCCTCTCCTCCAGGCCGATAAATTCCGTAGGGAGGACCTTCTCCTTGAAGTTGAATCCCTGCTCCTCCTTGAGCGCCATGTCGACGGCGCCGGCGAACTTGGCAGGGTGGGCGGTAGAAAGGGAGATGTGAGGCACCTCGGCGGCGCGCTCAATGGATCGCAGGGAAGCGGCAACACCAATGGCAGAGTGGGGGTCGAGGACGTAGTCGATCTTGTTGTAGAAGTCCTTGATGGTCTCGACGGTCTGGGGATCGCTGACGCGCTCGCTCTCGAAGTCGCGGCGGGCTGAAGTGAGCACATCCTTGTAGACAGGGCCGAAGCCGCCCTTGGTCTTAAGGTCCTTGAGCCAGGAGGCGACCTCCTGGGAGGCTTGCCTCTTGTTCCACTCGTCGTCCATGCCGGCGGTGGTAGCGAACTCGTAGGCGAGGAACCAGAGCAGACGCTCAAAGTTGCTGGAGACCAGAATGTCCATGGCAGGGCTGAGGGTCTCCTTGACGCCGTCCTCATGCGCCTTGGCACCATCGGTGGCCAGGCCGCCGGTGGCCTCGGCGGGAGGCGCGGGCTGCTTCTCGTACTTGCCGGTCGTCCAGAACCTGTGGAGGATATCGTTCTCGTTGGTCGCGATGACGAGCTTGTCAACGGGCAAGCCCATGCGGAAGGCGAAGTAGCCGGCGAGGATGTCGCCAAAGTTGCCCGTGGGCACGACGAAGCGGATCTTGTCGCCAAGCTTGAAGGATTCGGAGGTCTTGGCGAGGGAGAAGTAGGAGTGGAAGTAGTAGACGATCTGGGCGAGGATACGGGCCCAGTTGATGGAGTTGACGGCACCGAGGTTGTGCGTCGAGTTGATGTCGGGATCGGCGAACAGGGCCTTGACGATGTCCTGAAACGATTGGTGTTGGTGAAGGCGCACAATCGGGTGACGGGCTACTTACTTGACAATCGTCAAAGGTACCGGTGACGGCAAGGTTGTGGACGTTCTCGTCCAGTACAGTCGTCATCTGGGCCTCCTGGATGGGGCTCACGCGACCCTTGGGGTGCAGGATGAAGACAGAGACATCCTTCTTGCCGCGCAGGCCGTAGATGGCGGCGGATCCTGTGTCACCACTCGTAGCGCCAACAACAGTCAAGTGATGTCTGTCTGCGCAACGTGTTAGTCTGGCTTGTCCGACAGGCGCAGTTTACCCCGCGCGGGCTCCAGCGAGCATACCCTTTCCAGTCTTGCCCTCGTTCTTGCGCACGAGGAAGTATTCAAACAGGTTGCCGAGGAACTGCAGCGCAACGTCCTTGAAGGCAAAGGTCGGGCCGTGGAAGAGCTCGAGGAGGTAGAGGTTGTCGTTCAGGTGGCGGAGCGGTGTGGTGTCGGCGTGGCGGAAGGTGGCATAGCTTCGGTCGATGATGCCCTTGAGGTCTTCGGAGGGGATCTCGGAGGCGGAGATGTAGAGAGAGAGGATCTTGTGGGCGAGGTCGGGAAAGGAGAGGTCCTTCCAGTCCTGCCAGTTGGCGACCTGGGGGATGTGCTCGGGGATGAAGAGACCGCCGTCGCTGGCGAGACCCTTGAGAACGACCTCCTCGAAGGAGAACTGGAGATGCGATCAGCGCTGTGCAGGCATTGGCTTCAGGAGTTGCGCGCAATGGCTTGCAGAAGCAACTGGTTCAAGAGAAAGGGGTATAACATACACCGCTGTCCTCGCCGCGGGTGCTCAGGTAGCGCTGCGACTGGGTGTGGGTGGTGTCGGCGCCGGTGCCGGTCTGGCCGTTGGTGGTGGTACCGTTGGTGGCCATGATGCCTTTATGCGGTGAGGAGGGAATGGGCAGAAAAGAGGACGAAGCCCAATTGAAAGGGAGCGGGAAATGGAAGGGGAAAAGTAACCAGACCTCGTCTCTGCGAATGCAAGATCTCGGGCTGAGAAGGGCGGGATGGAGCGATGGACGGAAGAGGAAAGAAAAAAAGTCGAGTCACACCAAGCACGTCAAGTGGCCGAAAGTCGGTGGTGGCTCGACTCGCATCGAGTCGAGCCAGCATAAAAAGAGCCCCTCTCCTCTCCTCTCCTCTTCCCTCCCGGGTCCCCTCCCGTCGTCGTCGTCCACAGTGACTGTGCTGTCCAGCGTCTTCCAGTCTGTAATTAGGTCCTCGCCTCCCCGCCAATGTCCCGTAAACTTTAGTAACTCAGGAGTGAGTAACCGCAAATTTTGCCCCGCACTAGCCGTCAATCGGGAGGCACCTCAGGCGGGCGGCGGGGTGACAACAGCGTCGGACGGGTGGGCAGGACACGGCATGGGACATTGGATGGCACTTGCGCTGCGCTGAGGAAGACCAGCAGGGGAGAAAATAAAAATAACAAAACGTACTGCACCAGTGTGGCCGCGGGGTTGTCATCCTCCCCCAAATGTCCACTTTCCACTCCGACGAGTGTCTCTGGGCCATGTCGGGATGCCAAGAATCCTGGTTTTCGGCGCCGGAATGTCCAATTCTGGCTCTGTGATTGGACAGATCACGGGCAGCAAGCTCCTTCCAGCGTCGCACAGGAGCTGATGCACCCGTGCGCCTGAACTTCCTTGTGTCGCGTCCACCTCCTGAGCTGCAGCCAGCAGCCTGCAACATGCAATATGCGCCTCTTATTGCCCCTCCATCCAATTACCCCTCCATCCCCCTCCATCAGATCGAGTCAATTGAGCTCTGACAGCTCAGGTGCTGACAATCTGCTTTGCCGCTGACGGCGAGGCTGGTAGCTGCGGCTGGTCAAGCGGAGGACCTGTCAAGTGAGTCGTCACTGGCGATTTGGCCTCTTCTTGGGTTTAGGTAACCGTGATGAGCATTGGTACCTCGATTCATAGAGACGAAGGGCTGAAACTATTGCAAGTTTCCATCAACTGTCGAATATCCATAAAAGGCTTGCTATAGCATCCTGTCGGCATCAATAATACCGCCGAGCCTCATCAATCGTATGCCTCATGCTGTCTGGCCAGCCCACTCTTACTGTGCCGTGCCTTAAACGCCTGCTTCCCACAATGCCCGGGTATCTCGAAAAAAGAAATGTGGTCAACATCGACCCCTCCACCGTCAGCCCCGCGCCAATTCCCATCAAATTGTTTCACTTGCGCACAATCTTAAGCAGTGGTGCAATCTTCGACTTCTTGCTGAGCCCCACCCGATAGAGAGGCTTTCCGGCCTGCGATGCTGGCATTGGTGTCCCCTGCTTGCCATCGACTTTGCCCGCCACCTCTTTTTTGACCTCGTGCTTCTGGGGAGTGACAACTGCCGCCTCCCCCTCTGTTGCCGCGCTTTGCGGACCCGAACCATCGGAACCGGGCTTCAGCCCCGAGTTGGCCGTTGTAGGCTGCAGAGCCCGTGCTTCGCCCGCCTCACTTGCAGTCTCACTCGCTGGCTCTTTTTCTGTCGCCTCCTCTGTAGATCGCTTCTTATCACTCTTCTTGGGCTTGGTTGACCTGCTGGTCTTTTCCAATTGGTTATCACCCGCAGCCTCCAAATCCACTGGAACATCAATATTCTTGGCCTCGTCAGCGGGTTCAACGGCTGCGGGCTGATCCACGGGTTCCTGCTGCACGTGCGCCGCGACAACCTTGTCAGACTTCCTTGGCCGGCCTCTTTTCTTCTTAGTTTGCTGTGTAGCCGCTGACGTTGGTTCCGCTGCAGCTGGGCTCTCGGCGACCTCGCTCAAAACTGCGGGTGTGACTCCGGGTAACGGTGCTTGGGTCTCAGCAGGCTCAAGAGCTGCTGTTGCATCGGATTTCCTAGGACGCCCTCTCTTCTTGGGCTTGGGAGGGCTGGCTGGCGGAGCAGCCTCTTCGATAAGTTGTGCAGCTGGTCCCATGTCAGCCTCGGGGACTGTTGTAAATGTGGTATTCCCGTTATCGCTCTGCCGACTAGCGTCGCTACCCCTTCGTCGGCTTGGTCGAGGTTTGTACATCTCACGAGGAAATCCAATGTCGTCCGAGTTCCAATCGTCTGCAACATGCAACGCTGCAGCCTGCGGAGATTCATCACGGTGCTGACTGCGCTGCTTGCGTACAGGCGCTGCAGATATGATGTCCGGTGATGACTGGATCTCGATTGTCGCTTCGGGGTCAATGACTTCTCGTATTTCCTGCACGGCTTCAAACGCCGTTCGAGAGTTCGTATCATCTACGAATGACTCTTGGAGCATTCCCCGGACTCGTGTTTGACTGGGCGTAGAGTATGCAATAGTCGTAGCTCCACTAGAGCGTGCTGCAGCTTGCAAGGTTGTGAAATGGCGGGAAGGCGGTGGTCTCTGGTCATCCGGCGACGGGTCGACTGAATGATACTCATATTGCAGCTGTTGGCTAGCCGTCAGAGCTCGGGGTTCGATATACAGAGATACCTGCTTCTGCCCGGAGATCGGGCTGTTGACCAGTACAGAACCATCGTCGAGGGGGACCACCATGTCAATATCGTCTGTCGCCGCCGATGACACCGGTGCATCGATTCTCTGTTTCTTGGCTGCCTGGGGTAGAGAAAGGTTGGCTCTCCCTACCGGAGTGACGTCAAACGGCTGTGTAGATCCTTGGGAGGGCATCTCGATAGCCAACGGAGAGGTAAACTCGACATTGTTCACTCGCTTCCTCTTGTTGCTTGTAGGCGTTTTATTTTTGGCCAAGGTAGCGATCGGTGCTGTTGGCTGTTCGGCCGGGCTGCTAGGCACGTCCCACATGTCCTTCGGCGTGTCATTGGCAATCCTCCCAGGGGTCGTGACCTGCGTAAGGTCCACGATCTCCGGTCTCTTTGCCTTCTTTGTCCGGTTCGATCCCATAGTCGGGTCGGTGATTGAAGTCAATGATGAGGTGTTGGTGTCGTCCTTCTTCGTCGCAGCCTTTATGCCATCAGATACGGAGCTAGAGACCGCGCCGTGGGGCACCGAGGAGCGATCGTGATGCGACAAGATGTCGTTCGTAGCTGGAGCTCGCTGATCGTTGTATATCTCTTGGAAGACTTGAGGGTCGGTCGAGCCTGTCGCAGCGCTTACTGGATCGGAGGAACGTCCTTCGCTGGATTTCTTGGGTGTTGGAGGCTTCGCTGGACCGTCTTCCAGGTCGAAGTCATCGTCCGAGTCGTCCGAGTCTGCGATGACCCGGGCAGGAGCCATTGTCGCGCAGTGGCAAAGGGAGTCCGCGGTGGAGGAGGTCGAGGCGCGTGTCTAGTGTGAGGCGAATTGCGAGGGGTACACTGGATGTACGCCGAGGTACTTGCTTAATTGTTTTCTATTCGGAAACGCGACATTGGAGTGCGCGCCTCGCGCGATCACGTGGCGCTGTATGCACTTAAGCGGTGTTCGCCCATTCCCCTGGTCACCTTGTGGCGGGCCGGTCCGGGCCGTACCTCACCTGAACCAGCTGAGATCTGAGCATCGATCACACGTATTGTTCCCGCCCTGCCGATGATTTTACACGGTCTCAAGGGGAAAGATTCCGACTCAGTGAAGATTCTATGTTCACTCAATCTCTTCTATCCTGGGCCTTTTTGTGTTGACAGAAGGGAGCGACCGGTCCTGGTCAATTGCCAAGCCTGCCAGGCGACCGATGCCTGATTCCGCAACGGAGTTCTGTGCCGGAAGGAGTGTGGAAAGTCGCCAGTTCTCCATGCTCTCAATCACGTCGCGAGCGTGTTGCTGAACCAGTCCGTCATTGTCTGTGACGGCAATATACTTTAGCGTCCTCATAATATCCTCCCGGCTCTGATCCGTCAAGCCGAAACCAAGTCTCCTGCCTGTTTGCTTTGCATCATCCAGGGCTTTGACGAATCCTAAGATCAGAAGGATTGCCGCTCTTCGAAGAATCCCCTTCTCTATTTCCCGTTCAAGGGTGAGAACACTGACACAGAGATCGACTGCAATAGACACCAAATCGGAGCCAACGCCCGTGATGTTTACTTCGATTGCAGAGGAGAAGATGGATAAAGCGGATGTCCGCATTCGAACATCTTCGCTGCCTCTTTTGCTTTCCCAGCCCTCGACGATCTGAGTCAAGATTTCGTTCTTTGCCTGTTCATCTTGAGTCATGTCGTCTCCAAGATCTGGCACGTCGCCTCCCCAGGCGTCCTCGGCCTGTTTCTTCTTCATGTCTTGCAGGCGCTTCTCGCGAGCTTGTTTCGCTTCTGTTTTCGGTCGATGGCCCCTTCTTCCAGCGATTGATAGAAGCGTCTCAGAGACCCTCTTTGCGACATCTCCAGTGAACGTTTCACCGAGGCGCTCAATTACTTGGAGCAGCGCCTCTCCAAAGCGTAAACGAATATCGGTTGTTGACGTCTCCTTGGCGTCCAGGTAGTGCTCTAGGATCTCCTGTGTGGCTGCCTTTGGGTGTTTGTTCGCCAATTGTGTTAAGAGCTTGATGACGCGTAGGTTGATAAAGTCCTCGCCGTCTTGCAGCAGTGATGAGAGAAGTACGAGTGTTGACTGAATGTCGAGAATCGAGCTGTTCGAAGCCACCAAACCTGAGAGGAGGTTGAGGCCTTCGGAACGTACTGGAGGCGGGTTATCCGCTTGGGTGATGTACTCCAGAGCGAGCTTGTACGTTTTCCTCTCTTCAATCTGCTTGTCGCTGGGCACGAATGCGTCTTCCTCATCTGGATCGATGGCATCGCGATACTGAAGTAGGAGAGCTAAATTCTTTGCGGTAGGGGAAACATCCGGTCGTCCTGCGTTGCCCAATTTATCGAGAGCCTTTTCCAGTATCTCGGAAGCTTCAGGTTTAAGACTCGACTTCTTAAAGCCTGGTGCGGTGATGACTAGATTCAGCAAACTCAGAGCAACAGCGATTATATCGTCGGGATGATCTTGAAGGCTGGCCGGATCCAGGATCTGGCACACCAGCTCGAGCACTTGCGTCACGCGGCTGATGAGTTTGTCCGGGGCTTGTTCCAGCATCTTCTGCAGTACTGTGATCTCCAGAAGCTTCTTGATCTCGTCACTACCCTCTCCCTCCTCGGACTTGAACAAGACCTCTGCCTTCTTTGCTGCCGTGGTCGACTGGAACCACCGGCTCAACAACTCCAAGAAGAATAACGATATCTCTTCTGGAGTGCAGCTCGCCGTCATGAGTCTGACGAGAGCAGACGATCGCTTTTGGATCTCTCCCCAGTTGAGTTCTGGGAGTTGCGAGCCTTGACCGAGTGGGGTCGCGATGATTTGCAGGTCTCCATCGGATGTAGCCTGATACTGCCATTTGATGCTGCCTTCAGCCGTTTCTCCATGGTAAACAAGGTTTTCAATGATAAGATGAAGCTTAGTGATAGAAGCACTCAGTTTCAAGAAGGTGTGAAGCAGCGAACGTGCAGGCTTCGAGTACCGTTCTTCCGTTTTCGGGCTGGTGTCGCCCCAGCAGGAGACCGCCCATAATTGGAGCAGAACGGGATCAAGCATCCGTTTTGTTTGTGCGGGATATGGCGTTGAGTTGATCAGGGACGATAGGCGCTTAAAAGTGACAAACAAGTCGTCCGCAGTAACGAGAGTCGCCCTTCCACTCAAATCGACTACGTCCGTGTCCTCTTGCTTGATCTTGAGGTCGACAATGTCAGAGTCCTCTTTCTTAATCACAGTTTCGTTGCTTCTTTTCCGGGATGGATTCAAATTGCGCAGCAACGGCTCGACAAAGGTGTTCCAACCAGGAGAACCTGCAAACGTCAGTGCATGCATGAAACCCCAACTTACAGGACTCACCAGGTGCTCCGAATTGTTTTCTTCCTAACACCCCAAACATGATAATCTGAGCCGCAGCTGTTGTCAGTTCCGGACCTTCCTTGCCGTCCAACAAAACGATGAGTTGAGGTGCAACTGCCGAGAACCAATCTTCTGGAGACACGATAGTAGGAGGCGATGTGATGATGCGAGTCACAACGGCCATGGCTTCTTGCGTGATGTTGGCGCCCCGTTTCTGAGGAGCCGCAGCCTCTGAGGCTTTGAGTGTACTGCTGGGATGCACAGAAAAGACGAATTCCATGGTTCCTCGCACGCCGTCCGGTCGCAAGGGGATCAGCGTCAAGATCTTCATCAGCTCGGGACGGAGCCATGGCGGTGCAACGTTGGGCTTGATGAGAGCGTTCAACACTGGCAAAAGGTTCCAGGCGCCGTTCCTAGACCCTTTGTCAGAATGCGATGCTTCTAAGACGCTTGGCCGAGCCGAAGTAACCTACCCATCGATGAGCTCCTGGAACTCTCTTTGGGCGGCTTCTTTCGAAGCGGCATCGGCGGAAGGGTCAAACGCCCGTTTTCCGGCGCCAAGAATGCCGTCGGCGAGTTTAGATTTTGGGTCCTTCTCAGGGGTGTCTGTTTCCATGGCGGCTGATTCTTGATGTGAAAGACTTCAAGACCCCATCATAGTAATAATTCACTGACGTCGGTGCTAGAAGAGACGATGAGTGCGAAGTTGGCAACAGCCCGGCAGTTGTCACTGTGTGGATCACATCACGTGCAGGCGCGCTTATTCACGCGGGAAGTGGTTGCCAGGTCTCAGACGCGTCTCCTTCCCTTTCGCGTTGATTGTTTGTCTCTAGGTAGCTCAGGCTGCCCTTCTTTTTTTTTTTCCTTTTTTTTTTTTTTTTTTTTTTTAAGTCTTCCTCCAGGTTCAACTTTTCCACCAACACGCTTTCGCTACGCACTACTTGCAGGAGCCAATGCCGGATACTCAACTTCGCCGGGGCTCGATTCGAATCGCGACCTGGAGACCAGCTGGACGCGCCCTACCCGATCGATCTACGGGCTCTCTCGCTCCGTGTCTGCCCCAGACGCGGTGGTTTTTTCGCACGACGCCTCCCCTTCAGTTCTCCGACTCTCATTTTCCTCACGGAATGTCTATCGCAGACCCTCGGCACGGATTGTGAGACCACGATACGTCGCTTCCGAGCCTGTAACAGGACCTCGCTTGCCGCGGCTGGATCGATCGTGGCCTCGACAAATGCAGTCCCGCCGAGAGAATGGGTTTCGGAACTTAACCCTAAGTTGCCCTTTGGTTCAAGTATTGCGTCTGCAGTCGTCGACTCTGCCTTTTAAGTCCGCCTGGCTGCAGCAAGGCTTCGCCGCTGAAAAGTGGTGTAGGCTGAGCGAGGCCGACGTGGACGGACCGGCAGGGAACACATTCCAGTCACCATCTGGTGCGCGAAAGGAGGGTTACTATGAGTCGTTGTGTAAGAGCCTCTGGTCTGAGGCCGCTCGTCAGAACCCATCCGCTGGAACCAGTACTCTGGCCAAGAATAGGTCGATTGGGGGTGACAGCAGCCATGACTCGCGGGATCTTGCTGGCGGCACATTGCTCTTTCCAGGCTTATGATAGACCCAAGTGGCGGCTATCAACTTGTGTGAGGAGACCAGTGGGCAGAGCGCAGCGTTGGCCACAAACAGTCAGCATCGAAGTTTCTTCGATATCGTCGTGGTCTTCCCTTGCCGGTCGCACTTCAGTGTTGCGAGGATTCCATGGCTACGCACGGAAACTTTTCGATCTGACAGGACCAATTGCCATGCTGACAGCTCTCGGCACCCACACCTCCAACCACGGCTTGGGACTTACTCAGCAGAATAGCTGCCCGCATCGGATCTCGCAGCCAGTCGGCGTCCCCCCGAACCACACCCAGGCAACTGCCTTGGATGTGACATGCCTGCATGTGATCTGGCCAGGCGCATCAGCCTCCAGTCGTGGGTTCTGTCCCACGACATCGGAGGACGCCAAATCCCCGTTGTTCTCCCCCGGAGACCAACACTTCCCCGTTGTTCGTTCAGTCATGAATGTCAACGGATGAGAGCGCGGTAGTTTATGGATGTCTTTCGTTCGCGCGGAATGCCCCCCTTTGTCCACCTACACAGACGGAGAGGAAACGAAAACTTGTCCCAAGAGGCCGTGCGGTACAAGCAGAGAGAGTCTTTTCGACTGTTAAGGGCCCGCCCAGACTGCAATTCAGCTCGTCGAATCCCTGTTGAGCTGAGTATATGAAGGCTGCGGCTCGTGAGCAGAGGGCAATGCAAGCGATCCCCGCTGCACTCTGGGAAGGAGGAGGGGGGCTGTCGGACATATCCAATCGATTCTGGGACCCATCTCGTGTTGGAGTCAAGGTTTTGTGCTTGTCTAGAATCGTGTAGATATGGACGGCAACTCCTTTTCA